CCGTGTTGGAGCCCTGTTCCCTCTCTGAGCCTAGGTACTTGTATCAGGGAGAGAAGGCACTGAATTAGCCAGTCAAGGTCCCTCCTGCCCTAACTTCTAGAGTTCATTTGAGCCCCACAAATCCTCACTGCCTAAGAAGTTCTGATGCGGGCCAGGTGTGGTGACTAAAGCCTATAATCCCAGCACTTTGGAAGGCCGAGGCAGGTGGATCACGAGGTCAACAGATGGAGACCATCCTGGTCAACAAGGTGAAACCCCATCTCTTCTAAAAATACAAAAATTAGCTGGGCATGGTGGCACATACCTGTAGTCCCAGCTACTCAGGAGGCTGAGGCAGGAGAATTGCTTGAACCCAGAAGGCGGAGGTTGCGGTGAGCCAAGATCATGCCATTGCACTCCAGTCTGGGTAACAACAGCGAAACTCTATCTCAAAAAAAAAAAAAAAAAGTTCTGATGCGATCCCCAGCTTTCCCTGGTAAGGCACAGCTCTAAGACTGTGCTGACCAGAGCAATCACGGCCTCCTCTCCGGCAGGGTAAATAGCCACAGTCAACGCACATCCACAAACACGCTCCTCCATCACCTTGACTGATCAGTCCTGCCTGTCACAGATTAGTAATATCAGAGAGTGTTTCTGAGGTACAAATACTGGGAACACAAGAAGATGAGCACAAACTCAGAGAGCCAGGGGACAGACCCCACTGTAATTGTTTATCATCTGTCTCCCTTGGACTGTGCCCCATTCAACCTTGGGCCCACTCCCTCCTGTTCCCCCACACTTGGCAATCAACTGCACAGAACAGGCACCCAGGAAGTGCCAAAGGGGTGAGGTGAATAGTTCAGATGTGGATCTATGTGAGAGAAGTGCCTAGTGAGCTCATTCATTAGAAAGGAGGAAATTATCTGACACCACTGTGGGGGTTAGGGAAGACCTAAGATTCAGAACCCCCATGCTAGGAAACGCCTAAGAAACAGAGGAGGACTGTGGCAGACATCTGCTGTTTCTGGTTGCCAAGTCTCCTTGGCCTTGCTTCTTCGCCTCTCAATTTTCTTTGAATTCACCACCTCTCCCCACTCTAGTCAACCTGTTTGAGTCTCCCTTTCTTTTCTTTTTTTAAGACAGAGTCTTGCTCCTTCACCCAGGCTGGAGTGCAGAGGCGTGATCTTGGCTCACTGCAACCTCCACCTCCCAGGTTCAAGGGATGCTCCTGCCTCAGCCTCCCGAGTAGCTGGAACTACAGGCACCCACCACCACGCCCCATGTCCAGCTAACTTTTTGTATTTTTAGTGGAGACGGGGTTTCATCATGTTAACCAGGATGGTCTTGATCTCCTGACCTCGTGATCCACCCTCTTTGGCCTCCCATAGTGCTGGGATTACAGGTGTGAGCCACTGCACCCGGCTCACATCTCCCTTTCAAATCAACCATGTGAGTAACCCCAGCAAGGGGTCCTGCCAGTGGTGACAAGGCCCAGGCCACAGGGACAGACATGTTATAAAGTCTGAGCAAATGAGAGTCCTCCCTAGGACTCTTGCTAGAACTATTGGGATAGGCCCTCTTCCCAAGTGTCTCCGAACTCGTAGGAGCAGCTGGTGGCCCTTTCATCACCACAGGGAGCTCTAGCCCAAGAATAAAGACAGCCCCAATGAAAGCCAAACCAAGAGATGGAAGGAGATGGTTTCTGGATGCCCTTATGTGAGCCCTTCAATCCAGCCATGCATGACATCCCCTAGACTTCTCAGTAAGGTGGGCTAATAATTTCCTTTTCCCTCAAAACTAGTTTGAGTTACATTTCTGTCAAGCAAAAACATCCTAATACAGGTAACAGAGTTTTTTTTTTTTTATTAATTGGACAATTTGCTGGGTACTGTGGAACATACCTGTAGTCTCAACTGTTTATATGTGGGAATATTGCTTGAATCCAGGAGTTGGTGTGGGCAACATAGTGAGACTCTGTCAAAAGAAAGAAAGCAAGAGAGAGAGAGAGAGAGAGAGAGGAAGAAAGAAGAAAGAAAAGAAAGAGAAAGCAAGGAAGGAGACATAAACTGGCAGATTTGAAACAATCGTAGGTTGAAGAGGAAAGACTTATAACAAATAGCTAGGAATGACACTGTCAGAGGTGGGTTCAAGCGCAGTGGTGGGAAGAGGCCCCCTGCCAGCACCACCCCTGCCCCCACCCTGCTGATGTGGTCACAGTGAGGGCCTTCAGTAGACTGAAGAACATTCCTATCATCCTGATGAAGCCAGAAAATAGAAACCTCACTCTTTTGTCTTCCTGTTAGCAGGTGTTTGGAAGCCTTCAAACAGTTTCCAAGAGTCTCAGCAAGCTGAGAGCAGGGGCTCTCAGAAGCCCGAAGGGGAGATGTTTGGCAACTGTTTTGCTGGTAAAATGAGAGGAAGCCCACATGTACCCTTGCTTACCCCAGTGTGACCAGAGGGAAGTTTCTCCTCTCTTTCTGTTATAAGTGGCTTGCATAATTTGCCTCTCTTTTTCTGGTTAAACGTTACCCACAGCTGCCTGCTAGATGGAAAAATAGCCAGCAAATCCCACCAAGCAGGTATGTGTCGGTGAAGAATTTCCCACTCACCAGCAGGGAGATTGACCCTTCATTTTAACAACACGGGGTTGGGAGACCATAAAAATCCCTTGCGTGGCAGATGTAGAGTTGCAATTAATTGTTCCACATAGATGCTACATGTGTCAGGAAGTAAGGGATTTCTCTGACGAAATAATGACCTTCATTCAGCCACCAGATCCTTTAAGCAGGTAACACAAGCCCAGTGGCAGAACTTTTCTTTACTTTTTCCTTTCAAAAGCCATGTTTTCAGAGATTAAAGATTTGTTCTGCTTGCGTTGAAGTAGGCCTGAAAAACAAAATAGACATTTGATTTGTTTTGTTTTGTTTTGTTTTTGAGACAAAGTCTCTCTCTGTCATCCAGACTGGAGTGCAATGGCACATTCTGGGCTCACTGCGACCTCCACCTCCTGGGTTCAAGCAATTTTCCTGCCTCAACCTCCCAAGTAGCTGGGGCTACAGGCATGCACCACCACACCTGGCTGTACCTTTTTTTTTTTTTTTGAGACAGAGTCTCACTCTGTCACCCAGGCTGGAGTGCAATGGCACAATCTTGGCTCACTGCAACCTCCACCTCCCAGGTTCAAGTGAGTCTCCTGCCTCAACCTCCCAAGCAACTGGGATTACAGGTGCGTGCCACTACGCCCAGCTAATTTTTGTACTTTTAGTAGAGAAAGGGTTTCACCATGTTGGTCAGGCTGGTCTTGACCTTAGGTGACCCCACCTTAGGTGATCTGACTGCCTTAGTCTCCCAAAGTGCTGGGATTACAGGTGTGAGCCACCAGTCCTGGCTAATTTTTTGTACTTTTAGTAGAGATGGGGTTTCACTATGTTGGCCAGGCTGGTCTCGAACTCCTGACCTCAGGTGATCCACCCACCTCGGTCTCCCAAAGTGCTGGGATTACAGGCATGAGCCACTGCACCTGGCCCAAAACAGACTTTAATGTCAGTTTATTCCACTCAGCATCTCAAAGTACTCAGATTACAGGTGCGAGCCACCATGTCCAGCTGTTGAATGAGTTTTGACAAAAATATTCACTTGTGCAAAAGTGCAGAATATTTCCATCACCCCACAATTCCCTCATGCTCCTTTGTGACCAATCTTCTCCCTCAACCCCTGGTTCCAGGCTACCACTGATCTCATTTCTGACCTTATAGTTTGCCTTTTCCATAATTTCTTTTTTTTCTTTCCTTTTTTTTTGAGATGGCGTCTCACCCTGTTGCTCAGGCTGGAGTGCAATGGCACAATCTTGGCTCACTGCAACCTCCGCCTCCTGGGTTCAGTTGATTCTCCTGCCTCAGCCTCCTGAGCAGCTGGGACTACAGGCGCCTGCCATCACGCCCAGCTAAACTTTTCTATAATTTCATACGAATGGAATTATACAGCATGGACTCATTTTTCTCTGTTTCACAGACCATAAGCATTTTGAGATCATCCATGTATCAGTAGTTCTTTTTATTGCTGGGTGAATGAAGCACAGCTTATCCATTCACCAGCTGATAGACATTTTAATTGCTTCCAGTTTTATGCTATCATTAATAAAGCACTTTTAAATATTCATATGCAAGGCTTTGAAGGAACATATGTTTTCATTTCTCTTGGATAAATATGTACAAGTTGGATCTCTGGGTTATATGATAAATTTATTCTAACTTTATAGGAACCTGCCAAACTATTTCCAGCAGCAATGTATGGGGGTCCCAGTTACTCTATATTCTTGCCAATATTTTGTATAAGCAGAATTTTAAATTTTAGCCACTCTAGTGGGTGTTTAGTGAAAGCACATTGTAGTTTTAATTTTGGCCCCTCATTTGACAGAAAATCATAGGCAGAAGGGTCAAAGTTTGGACTTTGCACCCATGGTCTTTTGAAGGCCATAGGTAGGGGAGGCCAAACCCATGTACCCAAGTCAAAATGTGTGGAGAAACTCTTACCCTGTGGAGGAAAAACCCCCTTGTGGATTTGTTTAAAAATTTAGTCAGCTGGGCACAGTGGCTCATGCCTGTAATCCCAGCACTTTGGGAGGCCGAGGCAGATGGATCACCTGAGGTCGGGAGTTTGAGACCAGCCTGACCAACATGGAGAAATCCCGTCTCTACTAAAAATACAAAATTAGCTGGGCGTGGTGGTGCATGCTGTAATCTCAGCTACTCGAGAGGGTGAGGCAGGAGACTTGCTTGAACCTGGGAGGCAGAGGTTGCGGTGAGCCAAAACATTGCACTCCAGCCTGGGCAACAAGAGTGAAACTCCATCTCAAAAAAAACAAACCAATCTAGTTTAGATCTTTTGAGTTTTCACACTCATGTGAGATATGCCTCCCTCAAATCTTGTGACTACCTTGGCGCCTTACCTATCTGATGTGAAAAATAAAAAGGAAAAGGAAAAAAAAAAACCTTAGTTTATGAGGGAAACTCATTACCCACCTGAACTGTAATGGAGCTGAGTCTCCTAAAGCAATCTAAACATGCAGCTTTTCTGGTTTTGAAAAAGGAAGAGCTGGCTTGGAGCTTTCCACATTGGGCCACAATCTTGACCTCAACTTCCTCAATCCTCCTGGGCATCACTTCAGGACCACGGTCAAATAACAGATAAATCAACAGTGTATCAGGCACCGTTCCACACACTGGTAACCTGGGCCCCGTCCTCATAGAGCTTACTGTCTCATGAGGAAGGCAGATGGCAAACAAGCAATTATAAGTTGTGTGCTATGGAAAGCAGGCCCAGTAAGCCAGGGGCACATGATAAAGGGGCCTAACCCAACCCCAGTGGCAGGAAGGTGCCTGAGCCCTCCAGGAAGGGAAAGAACATACACAAAGCTCTGGGGAGGAACTAGCAGTGTGAGTTAGAGGAAACCAGGGAAGTCCAACATGGCCACACCTAAGAAAGTGCCTGACAAGAGGGCTGGGAGTGGTGGCTCACGCCTGTAATCCCAGCACTTTGGGAGGCCGAGGCAGTGGATCACGAGGTCAAGAGATCGAGACCATCCTGGTCAACATGGTGAAACCCCCTCTCTACTAAAAATACAAAAAATTAGCTGGGCATGGTGGCACGTGCCTGTAATCCCAGCTACTCAGGAGGCTGAGGCAGGAAAATTGCCTGAAACTAGGAGGCGGAGGTTGCGGTGAGCTGAGATCGCACCATTGCACTCCAGCCTGGGCAACAAGAGCAAAACTCCATCTCAAAAAAAAAGAAGAAAGTGCCTGACAAGAACAAAGAGGCCAGGCTCATTGCAGCAGGATAGGGGCTGGGCCTTTGTTTTCTTCCAAGTTCCCAAGCTGTCCTGATGTCAAGCAAAGTTTGAGAACCACAGCCTAAGAACAATCTGCCAGGATACCCCTCCTGCACCAAACAGCCCCCGGTTGGATGGAACTTGATTCCTCCAGAGCGTCCTGTCTTAAAAAGCCTCCTCACCTTGCAATTCTCTATCATTTCTTTAATTTTTTGTCCAGATGGTGGTTTTTTTCACTATTATATGCCTTAATTTCCTTTTTTTTTTAAGGTGGAGTCTCACACCCAGGTTCAAGCAATTCTCCTGCCTCAGCTTCCCAAGTAGCTGAGATTACAGGTGCCTGTCAACATGCCCAGCTAATTTTTGTACTTTTAGTAGAGATGGGGTTTCTTTATGTTGGCCAGGCTGATCTCGAACTCCTGACTTCAAGATCTGCCGGCCTTGGCCTCCCAAAGTGCTGGGTTTACAGGAGTGAGCCACCACACCCAGCGTATTTATTTTAAATCAACTTTATTTAGGTATAATTTACAAACAGCAAAGTTTACCAATCTTAAAGTATTCAATGGGTTTCACCAAACTCATACAGTTGTAAAACCAACATTGCCCCAACCATTGGTCCTTTGCAGTCAAGTCCCTTCCCGCATTCCCAGCTCTGGCTAACTACAGATCAGCTTTCTGAAACAATGGTTCTGCCTTTTCTGTTCTTTCTTGTAAATACAGTATGTGTCTAGTTTCTTTCATTTAGCATTATGCTGTAGAGATTCATCTATGTCATGTGTATCAGTAATTCACTTTTTTAAATTGCTAAGCAGTATTCCATTGCATCAATTACTACAATTTGTTCACCAATTGATGGACATTTGGATTGTTTCCAGTAGTTGGCTATTACAGATAAAACTTTTTGGAAAAACAAGTACAAGTCTTTTTGTGAATGTTGCCATTTCTTGTAAGTAGATACTCAGGAGTGAAATGCTGGGTCATAGGTATGCTTACTTTTGTAAGAATCTGCCAGGAGCCGGGCATGGTGGCATGTACCTGTAGCCCTAGCTATTCAGGAGGCTGAATTAAAACCTGATTGTGTTTGAATAAAAGCACTCTCAGACCAGGCACAGAGGCTCATGCCTGTAATCCTAACACTTTGGGAGGCCAAGTCAGGTGGATCACTTGAGGTTAGGAGTTTGAGACTACACTGGCCAATATGATGAAACCCCCTCTCTACCAAAAATACAAAAATGAGCAGAGCATGGTGGCATGTGCCTGTAGTCCTAGCTACTCTGGAGACTGAGGCAGGAGAATCTCTTGAATCCAGGAGGGAGAGATTGCAGTGAGCCAAGATCACGCCATTGCACTCCAGCTGGGGCAACAGTCGAAACCATCTCAACAACAACAACAACAAAAAAAAAAACAGAAAGAAAAAGAAAAAAGCACTCTCACTGTAGAAAGGAAACTGGGTTGAAAGGGACAGGTCAGGCATGGTGGCTCACACCTATAATCTCAGCACTTTGGGAGCCTGAGGCAGGGGGATCACTTGATGTCAGGAGTTCAAGACCAGCCTGGCCAACATGGCAAAACCCCATCTCTACTAAAAATACAAAATTAGCCAAGCATGGTGGTACATGCCTATAATCCTAGCTACTCTAGAAGCTGAGGCAGGAGAATCACTAGAACCTGGGAGGCGGAGGTTGCAGTGGGCCAAGAACACGCCGTTGCACTCCAGCCTGGGCAACAAGAGCGAAACTCCAACTCAAAAGGAAAAAAAAAAAAAAAAAAAAGAAAGGGACAAGAAGCCAGTTAAGCAGCTTGTGTAGTCATTTAGGTGGGAGGCTTTGAGGGAGAGTTAGAAAACCTCTGGTCAACATTTACATCAGTAGACCAAGGGGTTGCAGGAAGCGGAACAGGAAAGAAGAATTTATCTTTGCATATGCTGAGTTCACAGAGGACCTGTGAACTTGATCAAGGTTGGACTGTGAGTGAGTCACAGAGCCTGGCAAAGATCTGCTCCTGACCATGTTTGGGGACTGGGGATCCCACCAACAGGGACAGCAGGGAGCAAGGACAAGAGACTGTTCTGTAACCACCCAAGGGGTTCACCTTCCCACTGCCTAGAGAGAGCCAATTCATCAAGACAGGGGAATTGCAATAGAGAAGAGTAATTCATGCAAAACCAGCTATGCTGGAGACAAGAGCTTTATTATTACTCAAATCAGTCTCTCCGAACATTCAGGGAGCAGAGCTTTTAAAGATAATTTGGTGGGTGAGGGGAAGCCTGTGAGCCAGGAGTGTGGATTGATCAGGGAATGAAATCATAGGGAGTCGAAGCTGTCCTCTTGCACTGAGTCAGTTCATGGATGGGGGCCACAAGATCAGAAGAGCCAATTTATTGATCTGGGTGGTGCCAGCTGATCCATCAAGTGCAGGGTCTGAAGAATATCTCAGGTACTGATATTAGGAGCAGTGTAGAGAGGGTCAGAATCTTGTAGCCTCCAGTTGCAAGACTCCTAAACCATAATTTCTAATTTTGTGGCTAATGTTAGTCCTACAAAGGCAATCTAGTCCCTAAGCAAGAAGGAGGTCTGCTTGGTAAAGGGCTGTTACCCATCTTTGATTAAACTGTAAACTAAGTGTCTCCCAAAATTAGTTTAGCCTACGCCCAGGAATGAACAAGGACAGCTTGGAGTTTAGAAGCAAGATGGAGTCAGTTAAGTTAGATCTCTTTCACTGTCTCAGTCATAATTTTGCAAAGGCCATTTCAGTTCGTATCTCCTTGGCTGACATCAGGAAATAAATTATCATAGGAATGGAGTTGTAAGTAGTGGCTGGTTGTCTTTTGTAATAATTCTATGTCACAGTAGCATTCAATTATATTAATTTACAGAGCAGCTAATCTTGATGGGCACTGTCAGATGTAAGTATGGATATTGGTAAGACACTTACCCTATCTTCAAGTTGCTCATAGTTTAGTAAGTGAGCGAACTGACTGTGGTTTCTAACACTGTCTCTACAGGAAGCTGTCTCTCTAACAGTCTCTCAGATCTTAACCTGTTTATTTGTATCCTCTTACTGAGTGGGCTCAATACCTGAGAAAGGCCAGCTATCATCCTTGCAGAGTTAATGCAATGAACTTTAACTTGTACAACAGCATCACCACAACTCTGTTGTACAAGTTGAAGTTCATTGCATTAACTCTGCAAGGATAAATTAATATAGTGTCTCTCAGCCGGGTGCAGTGGCTCACACCTGTTAATCTTGGCATTTTGGGAGGCCAAGGCGGGTGGATCACAAGGTCAAGAGATTGAGACCATCCTGGCCAACATGGTGAAACCCCATCTCCACTAAAAAATACAAAATTAGCTGGGCGTGGTGGCATGTGCCTGTAGTCCCAGCTACTCAGGAGGCTGAGGAAGGAGAACAACTTGAACCCAGGAGACGAAGATTGCAGTGAGCTGAGACTGTGCCACTGCACTCTAGCCTGGAGTCTGGTGACACAGCAAGACTCTGTCTCAAAAAAAAAAATATATATATATATATATATATATAGTGTCTCTCTTCCAGGATTCCTACAGGACATGCCGCTAAGGGCTCCTGCCAGGAGTGGGCTCCATCTTCAGCTGTTTTCCAGAAGCCACAGGAGCAACTGTTCTCACCCCACACTCAGAGTGAGTGAAATGAGGGTTGCCTGCAGAAAGTACTTCATGAGGACAGAGTGGTTATCAAAATATGCCAATCAGCCACACAGCTCCCAGCTCACAGATATGTCAAGGGACCAATCAGCTCGAAGGGTTTCCGTGGAGAAAAATGCTTATTTATTGGAAGACAGAAAGGAGAGTGTTGGCTGAAACCACTTTGCCTTCAACAGCAACTTTTTAATCCCTTTGTCTGGTGCATGAAATCAGGTCCCAGAACACAGAGGTTATTAATAACTGTGGGACCTTTTCCCAGTCTCCAGATCAATTGGCAGAAACCTCCGGTTATTTCCTTCTGGATGCTTCTATTATTTGGAGCTGGAAAGTGACCTCCTCCTCAAAACTGGTACAGATTTTCACCAGGCTTGGGAATTACACAGTCACCCACCAGCCCCCAGCCTTGCCTCCTCTCCACCCATCACTGGCTAGGCTGGCTGGGTGTGAGGCTGGTGTCTTTGCTTCCGCCAAGACTCCAAGTGCCATCCAGTGGAGTCCAGCATGTACCTTTCCTCCCACTGGTTCCTCACTGCCAGGTGCGGTCTGAGGCATTGATCCGCATCCATGGAGCCAGCCTGATTTAGAATGAGTCACTTTGAGCTGGCTCCTCTCCTCATGCTTGGCATAGACCATAGCATCAGCTGCTGGGCAGGAGCTGAGCAAGGCCCAGGTCTTCACTTGGGGACGTTGGGTGGATGTTCCTCCAGGAGGAGCTGCTGCGATCGGCAGGACTCAGTAGAGAGTCTTACATGTAGGGCTTCCCCAAGGGCTGGCCCTCACCTCTCTTCCTTTTCCTTCCTTCCTGTGGGGGCTAAGCCATGCCTGTGGCTTTACCAGGATCTCAGTGCAGGAAACACTGCTCTTGCTCTC